TGGTATCCCATTTTACAGGTGAGGAAACCAAGGCCCATGTAGTTCAGTAATTGCCCAAGATCTCTCAGGCAATAAGCAGCACAGAAGGGAAGATTATGCCAGCCTGTCTGTCTCACTTCCGGGGCCCCCTGGCCGGGAAGTAGAAGAACTTCATCTTGGAAGGTCTGGAGCTGGCCCAGGGTGGCAGATTCAGTTGAATAGACTATCCTCCCAAGGGGAGGAGCCATATTGTGACCCAGAGGGACTGAACCCACTGATTTGCCAGCCCATCACCTCCTGGCTTCCATTGGAGGGGCCCTTTGTCCCAGCACTGTGAGGGTAACCCCAGCTATCCTAGAGGTAGTAGGCACATGCCACAGAGGAAGACTGGCAGAAATGACTGAGCCACACGGCAACTGCCTAGACATAGTGAGGGTTCACGATACCCATGAGGGAGGTTCTGCTCATGAGAAACCCTGTCAAAATCAACGCCCAGTCTATAAAAGTAAGAAAACCAAATATCCATCAAGAAGTAGCAGCCTCATTTTAAGGAAGATTTATGTTTCAATTCTTCTAAATAATTCATACTAAATCATAAATAAGTTAGGCACAAGAGTCTGGCAGTTTGATAGGTTATAAATGTTCCTTAGCTGGTTATGAACTTTGTAAAGCTATCTCAGGTTCTTTAGCTTTAAATGACAAGTCTCTAACAAACAAACGCTGGCTTAGAAACAACGTGTCGCTGGTGGGGCCAGGCCCAAGTCAGAAACTTCTCCTCCAGGTATAAGCCAGCAGACAACTTTATCTCTGCTTCATCTTGAAGGACGCCAGACACTGGGAGTGGCAGCCAATCAACAAAGTTTAAACACATATATCCACTTGTTTTTATTTTTATTTATTTGAGGCAGGGTCTCACTATATAGCTCTGATTGTCAAACAAATTGGCCTCAAACTCACAGAGATTCATCTGCCTCAGCCTCCCAAGTGCTGGAATTAAAGGTGTGTGCCACCACACACGGCATAATCTGCTTATTCTTGTGTGGCACTCAACGGAAGTCTACCTTTGCCTTTGACCAATGAGAAGAAAATTTAGCATCCTGCTGTTAGGGCTGTGTATTTGGAAGACCCAGTGCTGCTCACCTTCCCACAGGGTGGCAGGTGGCTCATCCCCCCAGAGCTACTTTCACTCCCAGATTTTACATCTGATAAAATATCAGAGACACATGTTTGGATTCTCCTTACAAGTGTCACAAGCCAGAAGGTGGTTTGTGTTTTGAGATAAGGTTTCATGTAGCCCAGGCTAGCCTCCAGCTTTTAATGTAGTCAAAGATAACCTTGAACTCATGATCCTTCCCCTCCCAAATGCTAAGGTCATAGGCCCAGGCCTCCATGTCTAGTTTATACAGTGCTTGGCTGGCCTGGATGACAACTCCAACTCCCCAGAAAAAATTTTAAAATTATTTGTTCATGTCTTGATTGTATTTGCAAAGATTACATAAAGTAAATTAAATAATTTATAAATATAACTTAGTTATCCCATTACAGGCTTTGTATCAGAATAATAAGCTAATTCAGATGGTCTAATTCACCAAAGTACCTTGAACTCTGAATTAAATCTACACAGACTTTTCCTAAAGCTAATAACAAAAGGGAAGGAAGGAAGGAAGGAAGGAAGGAAGGAAGGAAGGAAGGAAGGAAGGAAGGAAGGGAGGCATGTATGTTTTGGGTTTATTTAACTCATTTCTAATCTTTTTGTGTGTGTGTGTGTGTGAGTGTGTGTGTGTGTGTGTGTGTGTGTGTGTGTTGTGTATCATGTGCATGCAGGAGTCTACTGAGATAATAAGAGGTTTCAGATCCCTGGAACTAGAGTCACAGACAGTTGTGAGCCACCAAGTGGGTGCTGGGAACTGAACTCAGATCCTCTGGAAGAGCAGCAAGTGGTGTTAACTAGTGAGCCACCTTTCCAGCCCTTTTTATTAATCTTTTTAAAAAGTTATAATTACATTTATTTATGTGGGTGTGTATACGGACGAATGCGTGCATGTGTGCCGTAGCACACGTGTGTAAGCCAGAGTACCACTTGTGGAAGTTAGTTCTTCCCTTCCGATATGTGGGTTCTGGGAAAGGAGGGGAGTGTCATGCTTGGAGGCAAGCTATCTTTCTGGCCACCACTTCTAATCTTAATACTAAAGCTCATGATTGAAGAGATTTAACTACTAAGGTAAAAAGTTTACTGACAGATCAGTATGGGGTTAGATCTGTACTGATGAAACATGGCTGAGAATGTTCAGTAAGCTTAGAGCAGAGGGTGCTAGCACCCAGGGCACCGCATGTCCTAACAAGGGCCACCCTTGTTTGTGAACTTTGTGTCGGCAGAGGGCGCCAATGCCCTGTCAATGGGATCGGGGCTGCAGCGGAGGCCCTGAGATGGAGTCTGGCCTGGAGGCCTTTCTAAGCTCAGCTTTGGTTTCCTCTGGCACTGGAGGGGCGTTAGTGCCAGGGTTAAATTCTGCACACGTCTCACAGCCTGGTTCTGCTCACACGCTTGCTTCTGTAGTGACAGTCTGGCCAGGACAGTTAGGCTCCATGTGGCACTGAGCCAGAAGGCTGCACTGGCCTTGTCTTGTCTGTATTGTTCAGTGACAGCAGTGGGGACAAGACAGACAGGCTACTTACATCATCACTGTGCAATCTGCTGAGAGACAGCAGTCCCCAGGTAACCTGAGATGCTAAACACAGTAAAGAGCCTCTAGATAAGTGGGCACTGCACAATAAAAATAAGCCAAATATATGGAGTTTTCAATCTAATTAGATAGACAATCATACAACTGCCTAATGCTGACCATGGTACAAAATGTTCTGTGTCCCTGCCTGCCAATCATTACATATTTGTGAGTTAATGTCATTACAAACAATGACTAGATAACAAACCTGAGGCTCATAGGGTTAAATCATAATGAACCAAGAAAATATCCTGAGGAGGGAAGGGCTAGGAATACATCAGGAAGTAGAGTATGTGTGCAAAACACAAGATGACATGGTGTCAACCCACCTGTGACCTTAACATTTGAGTGGAAGAGACAGGAGGCAGGAGTTCAAAGCCATCCTCAACTATGTAACCCTTCTGGATTACATGAGATCTTGTCTCAAAGAAAAAAAAGGGGAGGGAGGGAGGGAGGGAGAGAGGGAGAGAGAGGGGCGGTGGTCTTCATAGAGTATCTTTAACAAGCAGTAAGGGCTGGGGACGTGACTCAGCAGTACACCAAGTGCTTACCTCATGCAGCTAAAAGCCCCGAGTTCCAGCCCCAGTAGCACAAAAAGGAAAGGGTAAACACAAAATAAAAGAAAGAGGAAAAATATTCCTCTAAAAACCCAACTGGGGGCCTGGAGAGCTGGCTCAGCAATTAAAACGTTTGTTGCTCTTGGGGGTGGGATCCAGGTGAGATTCCCAGCACCCACAACGTGGCTAACAACCATCTGTAACCCAAGTTCCAGAGGATTTGACACCCTCTTCTGGCCTCCTTAAGCATGACATACATGTGATACACAGATATGTACACAGGCAAAACACACACCCCACACATGCTCACATATATATATATATGCATACATACATACATACACGTCAGGCTCTAGTAAAATGCTAACTCGGGTCTAACCTCACAGATTCTGTTGTTAAGATGTATAACTGAGTAACACTGAGAAGCGTCTTGTACTGAAGACTGCTGTGAGCCAGGCCCTCTGAGAGAAAGCAAACCGGCCCCAGAAGCAGAAAGATCTAGGCTCTAGTTCCTGCAGATACCTCACCTCCTCATCACTTGCTGTCTCCAGACCTCTGCTTCTGAACTGAATAACCAGGGCGGTCAAACCCTTGCTGTGTGTCTCACACCCATGTGTTTCACAGAGCTTCTGTGTTGCTGGCAAGAGAAGTAGAAAGAGGTGATTTTAGAAGTTGGAATGTGCCTAGGTGTGCAAGGGTTTGTGACAGTGGCTGAGCAATGCCACTCTTGGGTGACATCTTCAGCTTGACCTGCAAGGAAGGTGTGTACACTGTAGATCAGAAGGTTCCAGAATGGCCAGGTCTGAGTTGGCGATGCTTGCCCTCAGCTGGCAGTGTTTGTGTATGCTTTCTGCAGTGAGGGTGGAACAAGGGATGGGGTGGGTGGCCGCAGTCTGCCACACAGAGCAAGCATCCCATGAAGGCTCTAGGGAGGGATTTGGGCACTTGGATTTGGGGAGTAAACCCAAGAGCGTTGGAACAAGTGAGCACAAGAGTCTGAGGAGGCAGGGGAAGTGCGGTAGAGAAAGGGCACCAGGGCCTGAAGTGGGGAGCCCCAGCTATTTGTCTACCAAAGGCTGGTGGGGGGCAGTGCAAGCAATATCGGGTATGCTGTATGCAGAGAATTAAAGAGCGATCATATTTAAAATAATTCAACTATTATTACCATGTGTGGGTCATTCTAAATGTGAATAATGAAATGCTCTTCCTCTTGTGTGTAGCCGAGGGGGTAAGAAGGACATTCCTACCACCGCTCTCCTGATACACCATAGACCCCTGTCCTTGCCAGTAGCCATCCCTTGACAGAGTCAGGGGACAAAAAGAACCTTGGAAGGGACTAGAAAAATGACAGAGCATTGAGGAGATAGTTAAGGTGGGACTTCAAGGATGGACCTGGCAATATAGGAAAGGTAGGACTGAATGGAGTATGGGCTGAGTGGGTTTCTGGGGTGCCCGCTGGACGGTTCAGGGACACTGCTGCTGCTGTCTCCCAGGCACTATGCCCTTTGCCGCTTGCAGGTTATAATCAATTGGCAAACACATCGAATGACTGATTCCCTGGGCTGTCCTGCTCCCACCCTGCACTCCCTACTGATGCAGAAAGCCAATGTCCACCTTGGCTCCTCTACTAAGAGCTGCCCTGCCCAGGCCCTGTGAGGCCGAGTCTCATCAGGCAATCTGTGTTCTGCCCTCTCCCTGGCTGATGCTTGGCCCTCAGTGACCACCTCTCTCTCCTTTGCAGGAGCCGGGTCCAACCCACCAGTGATGCACAAAAGAGTCAAGGTCCTGTACCCAAAGAATCACACAAGGATCAAGGCCCCGGGCTCCCTGGGCTTCCGAAAGGCCAAGGTCCTGTGGTCCAAGAGCCTCCAAAGGACCCAGGCCCCATGGTGCCAGAACTGCCAAAGGATCAAGTCCCTGTGGTCCCAGGGTCCTTAAAGGACCAAAGCCCTACACCCCTGGGCCCTCCAAAAGACCAAGGTGCTGTATTCCCAGGGCCCATGAAGGATCTAGGACCAGTGGCCCCAGCACCAGCCAAGGATCAAGACCATGTGGTGTCTGAGCCTTTAAAGAATAAAGATTCTGTCATCTTAGCACCAGCCAAAGCGCACAGCCCTTTGCTGCCGGAACCTCTGAAGAAGCAGAGTCCTGTGGTCCCAGCAAGAGCTGAGGATCGAAGTCCCCCAGCAACAGCACCCTTGAAGGACCCAGGTCCTGTGGGTTCTGAACCTGGGAAAGATGGAGCTCCGGTGGTCCCTGAGCATAGGAAGGACCAGAATGCCACAGTCACAACACCTTTGAAGAGTGAGGCTCCTGTGGCCCCTGAGTCCATGAAGAATCAAGGCTTAGCAGACCCAGAGTTAGTCAAAGATACAGGTACAGATACAGTGGTCCCCAGGCAGATGAAGGGATATGATTCTGTGTTTGTAGCACCTATAAAGAGCCAAGGTTCAGTGACCCCTGAGCCAGTGAAGAGCCAAGACCCCATTATCCCAGCACTAGCCAAGGATCAAGGTCCCATGGTTCCAGAGCCTCCAAAGAATCAAAGCCCAGTGGTTCTTGGACCTGTAAAGAGTCAAGACCCTATAATCCCAGTACATCTGAAGAGTCAGGATCCCCCGGTGCCAGTCCCAACAAAGGACCAAGGTCCTATGGCCCCTGACCCTCTGAAGACTCAAGGTCCCAGAGGCCCTCAACTGTCCACGGTCTCACCCTCACCTCCAGTCATGATCCCAACAGTTCCCCATGCAGAATACATTGAGGGATCCCCTTGATTCCCCTGAAATGCCATGAAGGAGCTCGTGGTGAAAGTGCCCCCCTCCTGGGGAGGCAAAGACATATATTTAATCTGCATGAAACCGTGCTGTATAGCCTTGCTGGAATCTAATAAAACCGGTCCCTCTGGCTCAGCAGTGTCTTTCTCTGGCTCTGTGATGTTGGGGTGTGTGCCATGCTCACTAGAGAGTGAGTCAGTCTGTGGAGTCAGAAACACACAGTGCTTAGGACTTGTCAGCATGACCTAGGGGTGGATGGGTGCTGAGTGGGTTTCCCTGAACAGATGGACACGAACAGATACCCATTTGCCCCTAATGAGACAGAACAAGGAGATGATCCCACACATCTAGTTTAGTGACCAGTGATTTTACTGGACTCACTAACAGAACTGTGGGTGAAGGGTTACCTACAGGAGAAGCATGTCTGGCTCAAAGGCTGTTGCTTCACTGATAAACCCAAGACTCATTAAAACTGTATCCCTGGAGACCTTTACATGACTTGCTGGAGACTCTGACGGCACCAGAGATCCTTACTAGCATAGCCTTGGGACAGGGCCTTGTGAATCTTGTGTGTCTCAGGAGTTTCCTGATCCTTACTTACACAGCCTTGAGGCAGGGTCTTATGTGCTCAGTCCCGTAGCTGGGAGAGTATTGCTACAGAACAGAGAACCACAGCTGGACTGTGAGGAAGACATGGGGGAGAGGGAGGGAGGAGCCACAAGCTCTGAAGTTCAGCCTTGCTTAGCTACAAGACCCGCCATACCTCCACTGATACTGGCCTCAAGGCCTTCATGATATAGCCAGTACTGCAGGGAGGGTGAAGGGGGTGAGGAGCGGGGTGGTGGTAGTGATTGTTTATTTTGTTTTTTTTTCCATAAAATGTTGCATATTTAATAAACATACTTAAAATCATTAAATATATTAAATGTCTTAACATTATCTGAGCATGGCTGAGGAGATAGGTCAGTGAGTAAAGTACTTGCCACACAAACCTAATGACCCAAGTTCGGATCCCCAGCACCAATGTAAAAGCCAAAGCCGGCCATAGTAATGTACATATCTGTAACCCCAGCACACCCCTGCTGGGAGATGGGGACAGAGGCAGGAGAATTGCTGGAAGCTCTCAGGCTGGGCTAGTTGGGCACATGCAGCAAGAAACAACGAAAATATCCTTTCTCAAACAAGGTGAAAGGTGAGGGGCCAATGCCTGACGTGTCCTCTAATACACTTGGTGTCCCCGGCACAAACACACCCTCATTCTCATCCACAAAAAGAGCAAGAAAGAAGAGAAAGAAAGAGAGCTGCCTGCCCCCAGGGGGTGGGAGAACTGGGACAGGAGATGGGGTGCTCTACTGTTGCCCCACTAAAGCTGGCCTCCCAAAACCACACCTACCTCTAGCAAAGTCCTAAGTCACCTCTCAAAGCAACTCGCTGGTTTCTTGCAGAGAGACCATCACAGACCGTGCTAGCTGGCTTGGCCACCACTCACACAGCACTAGGGTTTCCTGTTCCAGAGCTTGTTACTATGAGATTTTGCACTTAGGGAAGTCTCTGAAGACAGGAAAAGGCCCCTTGTTTAGACATGGCCCTCTTCTGTTCAGGTTTTGCTCAAACATAGTACGCTCTCTGGCAGCATTCCCCAAGGGCCTATGGGCAGCCAGGCGCAGGTGTCCAGGAAGCCACTGGCTGCCAGCGGGGCTGACTGGAGGCAGGTCTGGGTGTTGCTGCTTTGTATGTGGAGAGAATAGTTCCTGCAGGGTGATCTTGAGAGGAAATAGAGCTTCCTCAGAATGTCAGCATGGAAGGAAAAGTAGCCTAGGGTAATGCTGGGACAATTTAAGAGACCAGAAGAGACGGGCGGTTGCAGGTAAGAAGGCCTGGCCCAGAGTCACAAGGAACCATGGCCTAGGGTAAAGAGAACAACTCCACAAGAAGACAGTGAATGTCACAAGAAAGCTGAGGACAGAACAGGTGTGCTCTGAGGGCTGGCAGATCTGGAAGCCCAGGGCAGTCCACTGCAGCACGAACTCTCTTCAGACTGCATCGAGCTCCTTCCTGTCTCCTCTCAGCTTGTATTCCTCTCTCCACCCAGCCATATCACTCCTGTCTCCACCTCCTTAGTGCTGGGATTAAAGGCGTGTGATCCCAGGTGCTGAGATCACCTTTGTGTGAGCTGTTACTCTTTTAGACTGGATCAATTTTGTGTAGCCTAGGGTGGCTTTGAATTAACCAGAGATTCGTCTGCCTCTGTCTCTCGAGGCTGGGAGGAAAGGTGTGTGTCACTGTTGCCTGACCTCTATGGCTCACTAGTGTGGCTAGCTTTGCACTCTGATCTTCAGGTAAGTGTTATTTGTTAGATCATAAACAAATATCACCAGAGCCCACCTCAGTCTCCTACTTTGCAAGTGCAGGGATGAAACTGAGGCTCGGCCTCTAAGCAGCAGACTGGGAGGGCCCAGTCCACTATAGGCAGCACATCCCTAGGCAGGAGGCCCTGGGCTATGTCCGAGCAAGCCAGCTGCATCTAAGTCTGTGTATGAGTCAGTAAGCAGAGTTCCTCCATGGCTTCTCTTCAGTTCCTACTTGAGTCCTGGCCCGAGCTCCCTCAGGGGTGGATTGCTACCTGGAATAAAGGGGGATATAAGCCCTTTCCTCCCATGTTGCTTTCCGTCAGTGTTTCTTTTGCAGAAACAGAAAGGAAACCAGGATGTACACAGCCTGATAATCTGTGTTTGTGTTCCCAGACCCACATAAAGCCAGGAACCTGCACCTGTAGACCTGTAGTCCCAGCACAAGCGAGATGGAGAGACTAGCACTCGGCTACACACCTAGAACCTTCCTTTCACGGGTCCACACATCATCCCCACTTGCTGCCATCACCTTTGGGTCTTTTGGGTCACTGGCCCATATGGCAGGGCTGCCTGCCCTTCATCCCAAGCCACCTGGCATCTTCCATTTTGCTAGACCATTGGCTACCTTCCAGGATTCTCAACAAACAGATCAGAACGGCACACCAAAATGTGATGTGTTGCCTCTAAAATATACAGAAGCCCAACAAGGGTGGTGTGGCAGCATTTTTACCACCAACAAAAGGTAGGAAGACTAGCAAGCTGTTTTGTACTTTACAGGGTTTTTCCTGGAATGATTCAGTTTACTGAACACCCAGAAGCTTTACTTGGCTTACAGGTCTGTCTCTATGGTCACATGGAACTCTTTCCATTCTCAGGGACATTTATGTCTCTTTGATGCATCTAAAAGGCCTACTACTTACTAGGACTGTGGTATAACTGATGTAGTAGTCAGGATGCTGTCCTAAGATGAATGGAGAGGGACTCCAAATCCCCATCAATAAATCATAACAGAAAGCCAGAGACTTCATGGGTTTCAAGACAAATGAGAAAGGTGTACTGTCATCCCTACCAAGAGGAAGAAAATTCATCGGGAACTCTTTATAGAGAAAGAGGGAAATTGTCAGCTAGTTTCACACCAAGTGACAACATATGTTCTCACCATATCTAGAATAGCCTGACTAAAGTCACTGTTAGAATAGGCTCATAGCAAAACCAAGAACTGAAAACACAGGAACAAAGTTAGTGTGACAGAAACCACCCCGAAGGCTGGCGAGTTCCACGGCCAGGTAAATGGCTTGCAAAGCCTGATGACCTGAGTTTGATCTCTGAAACCCACATAAAGGTAGGAAGTCAAAAGCTGTTCTCTAACCTCTGCATGTGTACCTGTACACACTCTCTCTCTCACACACACACACACACACACACCCATTATACACACACGCAACAAATAATCTCTTCAAATAACCCCATGCATCTTTCAAGTCTTTGCTGATGGCAATGTCTGTGACTTTCCCCAAATCACAGCTTTCCTTCTGACTTATTATGTTGGTGAGGAGACTTGGGGTGGGGTCTTTCAGATAATCCTTCCCATCATGACACGCACTGTGAAGGCTTGGCTGGAGGCTTCTGTGGAAATCAAGCCTGGGAATTCCAACTTTACACCCTGAAATGAGGGAACTAGTTGCAAGAAGAGTCCAGAGCTCCACTGGGATCACCAGGCCTGGACTTGGGTCCTAACCACCTGAGTGCACAGTGGTATTCTGGGGCCTTGGGAATTAACATTGCAGGGTTTGACCTCTAATCCCTGCAGAGGCTGTAGATTGTCCTTTCAGAGTATAGGGAAGTGACTTGGGATCCTATGGGTCCAAAAGGAGCTCCAGTGTGCATCTGGGAGCAACTGTAGGATCGGGAAGGATGCTGGTCACTCCTTTATTTTAGGAGCTCTAGGTGAAAGGTCTAGATCTCTTTCAGAGAAGCTCAAGTTAGGCTTCTGCTTGCCGGGCCTGGGGCTGTCTGTGTTGGATGGCCTCTCAAAAGGTGAGACCCAGTGTCAAGGCTTCATTGGAATACAGTAAGTCCTGTGCATGCACGCTGCTCCTTAACCCCCAGCCTCCATTTCTAGATGGACAAGTCAGGTCCGGGATTCTGAGAAGTTTTATTCAAACTCGATGAGGTAGCGCTGAGAAAGGGTGACATCTCCACCTGGTAGACTTGTCTAGCCAAGGTAAGGGACCATCTGTGGTCTAAACCCTCCAGGTGGACTTGACAGTAGGACTATAGAGAAAGGAGGGAGCTGCCCAAGGTCACAGGCAGCAGAGGTGGGGCTTAATGCCAGTTTCCTTTGTCTCTCTGGCTACCGTCCTGTCCTGTACTCCCATCTCTGTCCTGAGGCATAGCCTTACGGATCACATGGATCATAGGAGGCAGACATTGAAGACAGGGGGCTGCAGGACCCTCCCTCTGTCACAAATCCACAGTGTGAGGGATCTGAAAAGGAGGAGCCCGATGAGCCTCCCTGGCACAGCTTAGACCAAGCAAGACGCCTATGAACGGCTTGTGTGCCTCTTTGCCCTCTCTGGCCCCTGAGTTGAGACCAGAGAGAGGGCTGACAAGTGGGATCCCTCAATTGTAGGACCAGGCTACCTGGCCTCTGATGTTCAGGCCCTGGAGCCCCAACTCCTCCAGGGCTTCAGATCAGAACATAGCCCCCAGTCAACACACAGTGACCATGTGCCGTTGTTCAGTTACCTGCCAGCATTCCAGAGCTAGATATGGTCTGCTTAA